AACAAGGGGGTTCCCATTCCTTCTATTCCACCACCTGCACAGACCACTGTTATTTTGTCTCAGTATTTACAGCAAAATAATTATTTCCCCCGCAGCAGTCTGTTGGCTTCCTTCCCACCGCCTGGCATAGGAAACGGGCAGTCGCGCCCTCCCCCTCCCCGCGCGTTCGGCACTGGCCGCCTCTCCACTCCAGGACCAGCAAGGATGCAGGGCTCCCTGAACCGCCCTACACGGGCAGCATCACCCCCGCTTCCCCAGCCCTAGTGCCCCCCTCCTGGTCCCCCGCCTCGGGGCACTCCAGAGCCCGCCCGGCGCTGCCGCCGGCGGGACGGCGGTGCTGTCAGCCGGCCTGGCGGCAGAGACCTCGCCGCCGCCAGTCGCAGCCGGGCTGCGGGCAGGGTTTATTCAGAGGCAGCGGTGGGTCCGGTGGGATGAAGCACATGGAGCCAGGCACATGTGTGACGGACCCACCTGCAAGCTGGGGTGTTGCATTCTGGAGGGCATGGTGCTGGGTCAAAATGTTTTTGGGACTGAGTCAGTGAAACCTGGAACCTTTTGCAGACCCCCTTAGCAGGGTGTCCTTCGTATTAGCAGTACTGTCTCCATTTTCTGCTATCTTACAGTAGCTTATTCAGAACAGCAGTTAGTGTAACAGGCAGAATCAATGAGAAACTGAAGTTGTATGAAAATAAAGATGATTTTGCACCATTTGGCATAGTCCTCATTTTACATGGTATGAAACAAGAATGATACGGCCATTTCTTGTTGAAACACAGTCCAGAACTTGTTTCCCTCCATGGGACCATCTGTGTTCATATGTGAACCCAAGCATTCATGTGTGAACACAGGCATTTACCTTGCCTTATACATATTTTTTTATGATGCAGTCATCCAAGCAGGAAGCAAAAACATCGCTATGAGATTTGGCTGACCAAATGAGTAGCTACAGGGAGCACACAGTCAGCACACACGGAAATAGGTATAAATAATTAGGCCTAGCAACATCTGCAGGTTGGATTTTCCACCATTTTTCCATCACAAGGTCATACACCCAACCAGAGACAGCATATGAAACTTTACAATGTGAAAAACGGGATAATGTCCTGCGGACTTTGGCTTCAGGACTAAACAGCTGGTTTGCAGTTTTAGTGAACTCAGTGACAAAAGATATTTCATAGAATCAACCGTGAAATCAGATTTTGCATACATTAAGGCTTTGGACCAGTCCTTACATTATGCATTACAGAGTGCATGGGAAAAATCTCAAAAGAAAAGTGCCAGGAATCTTTAGTATTGAGAGGTGTCCATTCCTTGCTGCTACTACAATTATATTTCTTCCCTAAAGGGTGAAGCTTGGTATTCTAGATCACTGACACATTCCCCAGTATTGTCCTTGCACTATTAAATAGTAAGAATTCTGTCCTGAGAATGAGATTTATGGGTAACAGGAAAGGCCTCACCTTTACTGGATAGAAAAGAATAGAAAAAAGAGGTCTTGCTTAATTCTAGGAAGTATAACATCTACATCCAACTCAGCTGCAGTGACAACTCTTTGAAAAAAAACAACTCAAAAGCTTCTGCAGCAGTAGGCACATCCTGGGTGGGCATGCCCTGAGTAGTAAATTGATCCTTTCTCCTGCTCTACCTTTTCAAGAAATAGTAAAAGATTTTCAGGACTCCTTCCAAGCTCACTTAGGTTTCTAGATGATGGGAAATTGTTCTAGAGATATAGGTTATCCAACCTGTGACAAAGTACGACATACTACAACTCCAGTAAGTCAACGAACAGTAATAAAAAAGATACAAGGCTACATTTTGCATGTGAGAGAGCTACGAAGGCAAATGGCAGTTGGTGGAATAAATTGTTACTGATAATCATAAGACCCAGCTGAAACATCTCAAATGGTTTGAGATCAAATATCTTACTGTTACCATGACGAGTGTTTTTCCTGTACTTGTAGAATGACTTCCTCTCAGATGTCTTATAACCAAAAGTGCGTTTGTATGGCCAAAAATCTACATTCCTGAATTTTCCAGCTGTGCAATTCTCCTCTTTCCACAAACTGCTAACGATGTTTGAGCAGGAGAGGCACCTGCCTTACAGCTTGGCTGCTTACTGAAATATAAAAGAAAAAATTTTGCTATTATTATGTTACTGTAGTTTTAGTTATATAAATACTAATGCAGACATTTTTCTTTCCTCTTTGCTTTATGCTGTCTTAAAAACAGCATACATGAATCCAGAAGAAATCTTAGTCTGAAATACACGTACTAGGCAATGGGCAGAGGTTACACAATCTTCAGCAGAGCAGTGATACCACAGTAGCTTTTTGTTAGCAAATTCCCTGTGTAAACAAGCCCCGTGCACCTCACAACATGAAATTACAACTTTTGGAAGTGTGAACTTGGTGCACATGGGAACTCTATTCCAGAAGGCTTTAGCATGTAGTAATTCTGTTTAAAAAGATAATGTTTCATTACTGTCAAGATAACAGAAAAACTGTTTAGCATTTTGGTGTTATTTATTTATTTACTTGCTAGTTTACCCTGCTGGTACTTGCCTATGATTGCCTCCTGCTCTCAAGTTATACTTTGAGTTGGCATTTAGGCAAGTGGTAGTGTATTTTTCCCTCTACTGTTGTACAGAGTCAGACAGATGTCTTGGAGAACAACCCAAGCAGACAGGCAAGCATTGAATGATGTCTGGGTAGCTGGGGATTTGGGCCTCTGACATCATCTGTGAGGTAGCTTTGCCTCTTACGCATGAAGCGAATAGTTTTCAGAAGAGCACCTGAATCGCACCTGAGGTTTGGGGAGTAGGACCCAGTTGTTTGCAGAACCAAATGAGCAAACGTGTATACCCTTCAGCAAAGTCAGTCCTAGAAATGCTCAATGATGTTTGTGTTATGAGTATTTTAACCGCCAGGTATAATTTTGCAGAAGATATACCAAAGGTGAAGCATATGACACTACAGTACAGCATTGTGCAGTATGAATGAATAAACATCGCAGATGATTTTAGGGCATTCTCTCTTCCAATACATAGGTTACTCTTGTGGAAGTCAGTCCCATCGTGTCAGTTAAACATCGTGGATACTGCATGAAGGGTTTGGATGGCTCAGCTTATCCTGCAACTGCAGGTTGGAAAGCCTGTCTGGAATGGTCACATGTAGATGAACTGTGCTGGGGAGGCAAAGACTATGTAAACTGTCTGTCGTTCAAGTGAAAGAATTAAGACGAGTAGGACAGAACCGTCACATGCTAAAGAGGCAGAAGAAAGCAGGTTGAATGGTAATGTTCATGGTATGATGGGTGTTCGGGGGTATCAGAATGACTAGGTGAGTATGTCCCATATTTGCAAAGCTGGGAGTGCAGCACAGGTTAGCGAGGAACACACACGTTGTTCCCCCGGAGTGCAGAGTGTATGTTTGCTGTGTCTAGAGGTTCTGAAGGTTGTTGAAGGAGAAACTCACATAGGACAATGTGGAATATACAGCTGATATGATACAGTGAATGAAAAGGGTGTGGTACGAAGGAAACTGAGTAGGTGTGCCACAGAAACTGATAAACAAGGTGTGTTGGTTAATACAGGGGATGTGTCATATTCATCTGCTGCCAACAGTTATTATTTTAGAGAAATGACAGCAGTGAGGGATGATGCAGCCCTGGCTGCACACTGGGTACACATGATGGTGTATGGTGGGTGGTGCGTAGGACATGTCACACACGACATAGGACAAGGGGACATAGTCTCAAGCTGCAACAGGGGAAGTTTATGCTGGACATTAAGAGAATTTCTTCACAGAAAGGGTGATTAGATATTGGAACGGGCTGCCCAGTGAGATGGTGGAGTCACCATCCCCGGAGATGTTTAAGGAAAGACTGGATGTGGCACTCCAGTGTAGTTGACATGGTGGTGTTTGGACACAGGTTGGACTTGATGATCTCAGAGGTCTGATTATGTGATTCTGTCACACCTTTAACTGAACACGAAGGATGAGGGTTCTGGGTTTGCATGCCACATGCCAACAGCAGCAGTGACAAGCGCGACAGACATCGTACATTTTGCTGACGGTGTGGCTGCTTGTGCTGTGCTGGGGCTGGTCACCCATGGCAGTGGGATGGTGCCTGCACCCCCGAGTGGGCAGTCAGGGGTGAAAGGTGGGGACTGCAGGAGAAGCTGGGTCGGCACGGCAGGGCCTGGGCTGGGGTCTGCCACGGCAGTGGGGGCTGGACTGAATCCCCAGCTAGGGCAGAGGAGGAGGGTGGGAACAGGCAGAAGGAAGAGCATTAGGAAAAGCATTGTCAGCATGTCCATGATCCTGTCCCTCTACTCAGCCTTGGTGAGGCCGCATCTGTAGGGCTGTGTCCAGTCTGGGCTCCTCAGTAAGGAGAGACACGGAACTCCTGGAACAGGTCCAGCAGATGGCAACGAGGATGACTGGAGGACTGAAGCATCTCTCTTATAAGGAAAGGCTGAGGGAGTTGGGCCTGTTCATCCTTGAGAAGAGATGACTGAGAGGGGACTCATTAATATGTGTGTCTGAAGGGAGGTGCCAAGAGGATGGATCCAGGCTCTTCTTGGTGGTACTGAGCTATAAGACAAGAGGAAATGGGCAGAAAGTGATGCATAGGAAGTTCCACCTAAATATGAGGAAGAACTTTAACATAAGGGTGACCAAGCACTGGAACAGGTTGCCTAGAGAGGTTGTAGAGTCTCCCTCACTGGAGATATTCCAGAACCGTCTGACACAGTCCCGTGCGACACAGTCCCTGCCACGTGCTCTAGGATGACCCTGCTTGAGCAGGGCGGTTGGACCAGATGACCCGCTGTGGTCCCTTCCCGCCTGACCCGTTCCGAGACTCTGTGGGAGGCCTCGGCCGTTAGACAGGGGCGGCTTCACCGCGCGGGCGGTGCCGCCGCTCACGGGCAGCGGTTCGGTCCGGCCCCGCGCGTGCCGAGCCCGGCCCGGCCGTTACGGCACCGCCGCCGCTCCGCTGTGAGGCGGCGAGAGCGGGCGCGGGCGGCGGCGGCGGGCGGGGGGCTCGGTGCAGGGAACAGCCGCGGCCTCCTCGCCTCAGCCGCGGGGAGGAGGGACACCGAGAAGGGGGGAAGGCGGGGGGGTGAGGGAGGGGGGCGAGCGTCGCGTCGCGTCGCCCTCTTCCCTCTAGGACCGCGCCGCCGGCAGGGAGGAAGGGGCGCGTCTCCCCGGAGCCTTCTTCGCCCCGCGCCCTCTCTTCCCAGGCCCGGTGCCGGAGGGGGTGGGGGTGGGCGCCCCGCGGGTCCCCTCAGGCTCGGCGGTGCCCGGGGCGGGTGAGATGTCGGGCTGAGCGGGCGCGAGCCCGCGGGGGTGGGGTCCGCCGTGCCCGGGGAGGGGGCGGGCGGGCGGGGGGGTGGTTGGGACCGTCCCCTCACAGCCGTCCCGCCCCGCCGCCGCCGCGCTGCGCCCATGGTGATTGTGCTGCATCCCCCGCGCGCGGAGCGGGGCGAGCTGCCCGCGCCTCCCCGCCGGGACGCCCAGGTGGGTGGCGGAGGTGGAGCGGCGGCGGCGGCCGCTCGTTGTGCGCGGGGAGAGGGGCGGGGGGTGTGTGCGGGGGGTCTGCGCCGCGGTCCGGGACCCGCCGTTCCGCGGGCGGGTCGCGCTGCCAGCGAGGGTGGGGACCGCCGCCCCGCCCGGGCTCGCACGGCGGCCGCGACCTCGCACGGGTCCGTGGGGATCCGCGGTGGCTGCGGGGGCAGATCTTCACGTGATGGAGGCAGGGGGGTGTGTGGCTGGCGTTGGGTCTGGCAGCGAGGTCTTCCCAACTAGGTTTCTTCTCCCCTTTTGTTTTCTGATGTTTAAAGAGCACATCGGTGACTTTACTGCCTGGCATCTGTCAGGGGCTCCGTTTCTCCAAGTGTGCCACTGTTAATCTTGAATTGATTCCATCATTTAAGCAAGCATTCTCTAGACATGTTATTTTTTCTTCTTTTTTTTGTTACCGTTTATAAACCAATGTTTATTTTCTGTGGCAGAATGGAGTCCAATGCATAGGAATACATGCTCCTAATGCATAGGAATACGTGCTCCTGACCTGAAACGTACTTTTCTCGAGTCTCCTCATCTGAATCCTAAAGGTTATTCTGGGGGAGGGGTTTAAAGACTCGCACAAATAAATAGAATAGTTTCTGTAGGTTTTAAAACTTAATTTTGTCATATGCTCATGTGTAGGTACAAGTTTATCTTTCCATTGAATGCACATTCTTCAGTAAAAGAACAAGTTGTTTAGCCTTCTGGGGTCTTTTTCTTCTTAAAATTGGTATCTGTGGTAATATTATGGTGTAAATTCTTTAAAGTTGCACATTTCCCCTAGCTGTGTTCATCTCACAATTTTCATTTGACTTTGCTTATTGTCTTGAATGGCACCTTTTATTCCTTTCGGATTTAGTTTATCTTTATTGCATACCTTTATATGTTTATTTATGTCTAATAGGGACGTTTCTTCTTTTTTTTTCCTCCCTAGGTGTTGGTGTCTTCCGAGTCATTTAAGCGCTTAGTTCTGAGGAAGTAGAGACACAAGGATTGAGTCTATTTTACGTAGAAAGCTACAGCTCTTCACCAGTACTCTTTTTACTCCTTCCTATCCCTCCTATCCCAAACAATTTGGGAATTATTTTAACAGTCATTTACTCCCCTTTCCCCCCTCACAATTCTACCCTGCTCCCTGAGGCATCTGCTAGACATTGCCTGTTATAGAACCAGGAGAACGTTCTCATCATCATCATCCCTTTCTTGCTTTGAGAGCTTCAGTAGTACCCTTCCCTCCTTTGGAGTGTAGTGCAGAGAGGCATCCAGAAGACTTCCTTGCCACCCTTTTTGGTTAGTAGAGGATCCAGGAAAAGGGGTACCTAGCAAGACACGTGACCTCCTTAAGGGAGCCAGAACTGAAGCAGCACTTAGCACGCTGAAGGAAACACCCATCTTTAGTGTCTTTTTCGTCTTCCACTCCTTCCTCACCAAATTTCTGGTAAGTCTCTTCAATCCATTCATTCACGCAGTGCATGTTTCCCTTCCCCCACTCCAGGCGCTGGGAGAGGCATGCACAGAGACTGTGGGGTGGGGGAAGGGAGGAGGGAAAACTGGCTGTGTACATACGGATCAGGGAGGAGAGGGGGGTGTTGTACCACACTGCAGGGAAACCTGGCACAGGTGGAAGAGCCTCTCATCAGAAAAGCAGCTGATGTGGGAGGAAATGTGTGTTTTATTTGCACATGGGCGTGCGTGCGCACACAGGGATGGTGGAGGGGGGTGAGAAAGCTGTTGTAGAAAAAAATACCAAGAAGTAGAAGGATGGCTGGTGCTGACCAGTATCGGGCTCATGTTGCAGAGAGGAAAGAGAATGGATTATTCGGTGGTGATCGGGAAGTGGGGTGTGTGAATGAGGAATCTTAACCATCTACTTGCAAGCGTGAACACAGAAGAGGAAAGACGTGTGTGTGTGTATGTGTGTGTGTATGTGTGTGTACGTCTGCCTTTTAGAGGCAGTTGTGCCTGGGAGGATTGCTGCTAGCATCCTGAACATCACTCAGTGCAAAGGTGGAGACAAGCAGATGAAAGCCATCACTGAGCGGGCAGTTGCCCGTCTGCAGGGTGGGGGGATTGTACTAGGAATGAATGGGAACAATTAATATATTCCCATATCCTTTGGCTTTTGGAGTCTACAAATCTCTAAGGGAAAAGGAGGTGAATACTGTGATATGCTTTCAAAGAGGTGTGCTTGGGTTCACCTGCCTGCAGAGACTTTAAATTCTACAATGCATGTGTAAAGGGTGGATGATAATGCAGCAGCCCTGGACAGATTGCGCTGCAGCTGCTCAATATATTATATAAAATGCATTTAAATAAATGTTTTAATTTTTCAGATTCTTCAGGTTTTAAAAATGTGTTCTTTCCAAAGAGTCTCAAACAGTTATGTGGCAGTCTTAGGAAAACTAGTTTTTGGTATGTAAAGAGGAATTTTTCTTGATGTTGGCCTTAAGCATCACCATGAAGGAGCATTGTCAGGAATGAGTTGATTTACCTTAGATTTATTTTTTGAAAGATGTCAGTTCTTATCTCTATCACCATGGGATATATTCATCATCCATACATTTTCTTTAGATGATCGTCATTCTGATACCTTTGTGTGGAAAATAATTGCTTGTACTTTATACTGGAAACAGCTGTGAACTGTTTGCAGACCTCCTTTCCTTATGGCATAGAAAGTCCTGTTTCTGGGATGTTTCAAATACTGGTCTCCTCTCATTAAGATGAGACAGAGACTTACATGACAATGTATGGCGTCTTATGTGCTGGGTCATGTGCTGGCTGATTGATTGTTAGCTCTTTAACTGGTCTGCTATCCAAGATTGACTTTATAATTCAGATCTGCCTTGAGGTATCTCCTAAAGGAGATAACTTGCAAGCATCTGTCAAATGTTCTTAGGTCTTCAGTGTCTTGAAATGTGGCCTTCTAGCGTTCTAGAAACTGCTGCAATGGTGGAGACGATTGGTTTATTGGAAATGTGTACTTAGTTTCAAGCCTTAGCTAATTTATGATGAAAAGGAAGTCAAAATAAATTTTCCAAGTTGAATAACACTGTTTTGGAAATGAGTATTAAGGGATAAGCATCAATGATGTTATTAGTGTTAATCGTAGTGAGGTGAGTGCTTGGAGCTGTGTTTTTCCTAGTTCTCTGTTTCCCATGGCAGTCATGACTGTCAGTCTCCTTGCTCATTCCTTCTCACTTCCATGAGATTGTTATTATCATTATCTCAGCTGTAGGGATCCAGCATGCCTAGAGGTTTGCTAAAACTAAGGTTAGGTTTTTTTAGTTAATAGAGATTAACTGCTGGAATCTGTGTAGTTTGTGTTAGCTGCTCAGTGCTGTAACTGAGCCTCAGTCTGAGCCAAGCTCTGAAAAAAGGGAGATTCTGGGAGGGGCTGATGGTAGTAATTGTTCCTCTAACTTGTTTCCCAGAACATAGTATAGTCAGTGGGAGTGTGCTACAACATCAGATCACAGGTCGAGCAGTTGAAATAGCTAGATTATATTGATTCTTAATGCTACAAAACATCTGGGATTCCATTCATCATTCCCATAGGGAACAAACAAGTTAGACTTTTTAATTTACAGAAGCATCGAGTGGTTGCATTCTGAGTGGAAAGAATACAGAACAGGTTTTTTTTGCATACTAGGTATCTTTTATCTTACACATTTACCAGTCAAACAGAAATTAATTATTATCCCCTAATAATGGGTTTCTTCTTAGAGGTCATACATCATGATGAAAAAGAAAAAGAGACTAGTCCATTTTTCTCCTGCTTTTGGGTGTTGAAGACAGGATAAGGAGTAAATTAACAATGGAGACCAGTCTCCCATTCCTGGAGACAGGTCTCTAATCTCTCTATAAAGAGAAGACCTCTTCGAGGCAAAGAGTGGTCTTCAGAGAAGATTTCTAGATCTCTCTAGACAACTGATCTGATTGGCTGAATTCCCTGTTATTTCAAGAAAACATATTCCTATATGATGTAAAGTAGAAAAGGAGCACAGTGAGTGCTTTTGTTAGAACAGCTGCGAAAGGAGTACTGCAGATTGAAGGAATATGGGAGGAAATGGGATTGCATGTGATGGGGAGGGGAGGAAGCTGCTGTGTGCCTGCCGGAATAAAGCCTAGTTTAAGCAATACAAGGGTGCTACAACTCAAAGTTGAGGTGAGTGTTCCATTCCCTCTATAAATTGCTAAGAATCTGTTCCACACAGCTTCCTGAAGCTGATGCAGCAGTGTCTGCTTGGCTGCTGTGACACAGAGTTTGATTTTTATGAGAGCTTTTACTTTGATACCACCCTTTTTACCTCTCCCAGTTCATTTTACGCAGTTAGGTTGATGATTATTTTTTGCTTTTAATTTCATATATCTATTAAATAGTTTTTGAAGGATTGTACTTTGTAGTAGGTAGCTTTGATTGAAAACTGCACTTCAACTGGTCATCTTGAACATATTTAAACATCTGCTCTTCCCCTTATATATACCATACTTATTTTGCAATAGATGCTCTCATGGATTAGGAAGTATTCCATGCACGCCCAGCATTGTCTGAGGCTGTGTCTTTTAGATTGAAATGGGTGGAGTTGGTTTTCAAGGAAAAATTCTGGCAATCATATCCAACTTGAGAGCTTAATGCTCTTTTGCATCTGACTGCAAGGCCAGCTTTCCTCCTACAGACCGTTTTCTTGAGAATGTGGGAGGGACTGTTAAGATGTTTGGGTTAATAGGGTAAATTGCAGGTTTTGTGTTCTGTGAGACTTCTTACACAATCAAAATAGAGATTGTAAGGAGAGACTGAAACTGATGAGTAGATTCTGTTTTTAGGAACGGAATGTTAGTGTGAAAAAGATATTTTTCCAGGTGGAAAAAAAAGGAGGTGTAGGGTTGGGGTGAAGGAACCAAGAGTTAGGATTACTAGTTTCTGCCTCTGCTGCTGGCTTGTAGCTTGATCTAAAGTGAATTTCTTAATCTTTGCTTCCAGATTTGAGGTTGTTACCTGCCTTCCTTAAGATAAGATGTTAGCTTTTATATATACATTTATAAAACTCCTAAGATTTTGAGGGAATGAGACATAGTATTAGGAGGGAGATGAATACCCCTACCCAAGGCATTTTTGTATGCCTGTGCGTTTAATGTGCTCGTTGAGGTACCTGGATGGCTCTTCTCAATGAAGCTGTAACTTCTTTCAAAAGTAGAAGAACCATGGCCCTTTGCTGATTTTTAAGAATTCGAGTGCTGAAATGGCATCAGGGAGAGATGATGGCAGACTTGAGGGGGTGGAGGTGGGGTGATGTAGAAAAGAGGCTTGAGAAAAATGAGAGTAGATTGGCAAAGAAATCTCGGGTTACTAGCAAGCTAAAATGGGGAAAAAATACTTGTTTTTTGCACCAGTGTTAGAACCAGTGCAGAGGGGGAAAAAACCTCAAACCACAAAACCCCAAACTAAAACCTCAAGCAAGCTGAAAATATGTAGTTTTCTGATTTGTTTTGTTTTGTTTTTTTTTTTTTTTCAATGAAGAGAAGGTGTGCCTGGTGTATTTGTTTGCGTGCTCGCCGTTCCCCGGCTGTCCTTTAACCCGGTCCGGGCGCGGCGGGCAGCGCTGCGTTCCCGGGGCGGGGCGGCAGGTGGCGCTGCGCCGCCTCGCCAGCCCCTCGTGCAAATGGCAGCGGCGAGGGCCGGTGCCCAGGGGCCTCTGGGCTGTGCCACAGCACGGCGGTGACATTGCTGGAAAACACAGCCTGTCCCGGTTCCTAGCCGAGCATGTTGTTCCAGGAAGTTTTATGTAAACTGCCACGTAGAGAAATCCATTGTTGAGAGAGACAAAAGTGGAGCAGGATCTGATAGTTGTCAGCCATTGCAAGCCCAAACCTCATCTTGCCTTTTCCACTTTCGGCTGCTTTGAAGAACAAAGAGGTTCTTTGAGATATCAAAAGATATTCCTTATAACCCCTCATACCCATTTTCCTGCAGGGAGCAAACAGTCCTTTTCCTCCGTTACCTTGAACATCTTGACTGCTGTCCAGGGCTGGTCTGGATCTATGATTGCCTTTCTCAAGCTTCTGCTTGCTTTCAATCTGTTAGGATGAAGAACTGTAGTCCTTGGCTTTATTGTTGCTCCTCATTTACCAAAACAGTGGAAAAAAATCTCAGTCTTTGCTTGTTGTCATTATGGTTCTCAGTACCAGGAGTAAAAATGTCCACTTAACATTTGATGTTCATGTTAAGAAAAAGCTGTACTAGTAGAAAAAACTCACTTTTTGATTACAAAAAAAAATCCAGTTCTTGTGGTTGTAGCAAAACAATCCGTTTGTTCCAAGACCTGCTGCAGAAACTAAAATTCTTTGTAATATCAAATGATAGCAGTTGTATACTTACTGTCTTTCTGTATTTACATTTCCTGCTGACAGCAGGTCCTGTCATTAGGACTACCAGGTGAAACTCCTGTTTCTGTCCCAGAGTTCAGTTCTCTTTGGAGCTTATGTAAGATATATTGATGAAAATCATGATTTCTACCTCTTTATTTTAACAGGAAAGTTTAAAATCTGACACTGAAAGCAGCTCTGGTTTTCTCCAGAATTCTTTTTCCCTACACTGTGCTGCTTCTTGTCTTTCTTGAGTGCAAATGAGTATTCCATTAGCATACCTGTAATTGTTTTACAGCTTTTAAAATATTTCAGTAAAAATGTATTCAGTCAAGACTAGCTCAAGTCCTCTGTCTTTAAAGCAAAAGGAGCAGTACCTTGCTGTTACCAGTTCTAACACCATTGAATTTCTTCAGTTTGAACTGTTTTTTCTGTTCTTGGTGCTGAATTCATTAGTGCTGTTTATGTATAAAGGTGATTTAAAAAATTATTTGGAGCAAGAAAGGGCTAGTACTGAGATTCAGACTTTGATTTTGCTTTATTTTATATATATTATTAATGTTCTGTATTTCCAACCTTTTGTTGATGCTCCTTGTTCCATTGTTTTTTTCTGTTATTATGTGTTCTGGATACTACTAAATATGTTTCTAAGTATATTGTGCAGTAAATGTGAAGTAGTTGTAAGAGCAAATCAGTCCTAAATAGTTATCTGAAAAAATTTATTTTAATGAATTTCTTCTGTTCTTCTGTGCATCTTTTTTAACATAAAGAATTTGTCACACTCTACTTTCTTCCCTATGTGGTGGAAAGGGACAAATAAACTCTGTCACTGGGTGTTTTAGCAGTAGCTAGGAGAGGGGCTGAGTTATTTCAATTGTAAGGAATTATCCCAATGGTGAAGTTGAAATTCTGGCCTTCAGCCATGACCATTCAAAGTGTATTAAGTTCTTGGCATGGTTCTTAGTACTCTCAAGGAAGGGGGATGCTACTACCAGTACCAGTAGTTACATCATTTGTATACCTTTTGTGAAGAAAGCTAGGATGAGGACCAAGACCTGATTACTAGCCTTTCACATTTCAAGTGTAAATAGATTTGTTTGTGTTGTTGGTACCTCGGTGACAGATTAGGTGTAGACATTATTTTGCCTCTTGGAGATTGGAAGTTGCAGTCTGTTGAAAAGGACTGACTTGTGAGAGGGAGAGGGACTTGGTACAGCAGGGATCGAGAATTATGTGCTCTAACAGAGTCTCGTCTTCTCCACTGTCTAGCAGTTCCATTGAAAGGAAACCTTGAAGGTTGCAAGACAAGTCCAAGATGTGCAGTTCAGTTGCTCCCAGGCTGTGGTTCTTAACAGACCGTCGCATCAGAGAAGATTACCCTCAGCAGGAGATCCTGAGAGCACTGAAGGCCAAATGCTGTGAGGAGGAGCTGGATTTCCGGGCCTTGGTGATGGATGAAGTGGTGCTGACCATTGAGGATGGAAATCTTGGTGAGAATGAGCTGAGGCTGGGAATGTGCTGAAAGGGTACTTCGAAAAAGATTGTAAAATGGAGCATCTGTACTCTTTAATAATGAAGTCCATGTGTGCCAGACTACCTGTCATTCATCATCTAAATCGTGTAGATGTACATCATACCATGTTTTGTAGCCTTTTTTATGTTAGTTGAGTATAATTGTTAAATTTACTAATTTGCAGTAGAACCATTTTTGCCTTCCTTCTGCAGAAAAGAGAGGAGGGTTGTTTTGTTTTGTTGAGTTCAGGATAAGGACCTCTGAATTAATAAGAAATCATGGAGCTTAATTTTTGCTTAGATAATTGAAGTTTATGGGTCGCATTTAAGAGTTTCGGGGGGATTTTTTTGTTTTCTGTTTGTGTTCTAACTCCAGAATAGAAAACACATTTGAAATAGTCTAAAAGGAATTTCCAGTGAACAGTACAAATTGTTATAATATGGTATAGATTATAATGTGATATAACTAAAGCATGCTGCTGTACGCACGTGGAGTTACGTATGTGCTAAAAACGAACGGTGGTGAAAAACAAAGAATGTGCATCTGAATAATTTGAACTATTACTACAATTTACAGTGTTTAAAACTAAATGGTCAGATTTCTGTTTTGTTCTCCTATTAGTTTTTTTTTCCCCTGTGGTGATTAAAAGGCAAAAGCAAGACATTGTGTCAGAAATGTTAAGGAAAATGATGCTGTAGATAGTAAGCTTATGTGATAGGAAGAATATTAATACCACCAATGTCAAGCTGTGTAACACTTGTAGTTTATTATTGTTTTAACTTTTTAGTTTGGATTTCCTAAAGTAAGGAGACTGCAGTATTGTTCTTTACCTTTACTTCTTCCATATCTCTTCCCATATATCAGTCAAAAAAAAAATACCACTGGGGATGCAGGGAAAAATTACATTTCTGAAAATTGTATTCAAGTAATCCTGTGTGGGAACAAAATATAAAAGTACCCTCAGCTCAAAAGCCTGCCACGTGATCATATTCCTTGTTCCTTATTGGGAAGTCTTACGTGGGAGTGGAATCATAGAAGTGACTCTGGGGAAGAACTTTAGTCAGAATTTTTACCCTATTGTGGCATGGATCAATCGAGCATAAAACTTATGCATGGGAAAACCAGTGTCTTTTATTCTGGTATTAATAAAATTTTATTTACCTATTCTGGCTTTTAATCTGAGGAGTCTATGATTTTTAACATAGATTGAAATTCTGTAGGATGTTTCAAATCAAGATAACTTCTTGTCAGAAAGTCTGAACATCTTACTGCTCTGAGTGTGCTGTCCTTTGGACAGCCTGTTATGCAAAGGCAGCCATCCTGGACTTCAGCTGCAGTCTCTGAGATGCATAATTAGTCCTCCACCATTTCAGTATTCTTTTTATTTTTTGGTGATGATTTCTTCTTTCCTGTCTTCTGTCTGTTTTTGAGCAGTTAAATATGGCAAGCATAAATCGTGGACCTTTCTACTCTCTTCTGCCTAATGTCTCCTAATGCTGCATCTATTGCAAGAAAAAAGATAAAGTACACAAGTCGGAAAATTATTGCTGAGAAATATGTAGTACCTGAATGAGAAAAATTAGGGGAATTACTGGAAAGAAAATCCAAAAAACATGATGTTATTCTCATACAAAGTCTTCATTCAAAACGATGTAAATAACTAATGGTTTGAAAAGGAGTGAGAAAAAAATGCTGAAAGATTGCAGATAGAAATTTTGTTATAAATAGTCTGGACTGTCTAACTGTGGTTTTTTTTCCAAGGGGTGGGAGTTGTCCTGTATCAAACAATTCTTTCTCATGGAGAGAGATGAAAAATCTTCCTTCTCAATTTTCCAGTTCTCTTTCCTAGACCTTTTGCACATGTTTTGATACAGATTTCTGGTGGAAGACACAAGCAAAAGCTTTGTGTTTCATTTGCCTTATTAAAGTCCTCAGTTGGCCTAGGAAAAGGTGTCCTGGAACAATATCCAGGAGGTAATGCATTCTATACCCTTTTAGTTATCTACTGTTGTGAGAGGGATCCAGATTGAGTAAAATTTTGTACAACATAGAGGAATGGTTTAAGAGAATGTGTGCTTACTGGATAATTACCTGCTTTTGCTTCCTTTTCTATCGTTATTTGTGTTGAAAGCTTAACAATTCAGGGTTCAGACTCTGAAGGTAATACATGATATTGTAGGAAATAATAGGGTTTTTTTGGTCACATATTCACCCTTTGATTAGAGCTTTTTTTGTCCTTTAAGACCTAGGCAATTTCTTAAGTAAACTGTTAGAAGAATGTTAACTTTACAAAGTCAAGTTGGAAATTGTAGGATGCTATTTAAAAATATGGTATTTCTGTAGGTGATATAGTCAATAATCTTGTGGATTTGCTGACTGTCAGTAACATGGCTGGAGGCTTCAGAAACCAAAAATCCAGCATAGGACATGAAAAAGCTTGGAATTATTTACCTCACAGGGCCAGAGTTGAAAAGACACTTCTAAACTTAGGAAAACGGAACAGAACAGTGGGATACGTAGCAAAATTGAAAATTGTCCCTTCCACAAATCACATGGTGTATACCTTGACAGTAGAGCACACTGATGTATCACTGAAGCCTAGAGCCAAAGGCATAAGTGGGAAACTCTTGCAATGCTGAGACTTACAGGATTTGTGTGTGTCAGAAGTGATAAGATCTGGTGTGGCAGAAGGGAAAGGGGGGGAGATTGGGTTGTTTCAGTCAGTGGACACAGCAGCAGCGACTCCTTGGGGCAGTGATTCACAGGCAAACCAGCAGTGTAGGCCCAGCAGTGACTGCTGATTCCTTTTCTTCTGCAGCTGAAACTCAGAATGACTCAGTATCCCAAGCACCCCACACAGCCCCAGTATGACTGACCATGTGATGACCTAGCATGCAGCTCAAGATCCACATTAGATTCCTCAACACAGCACAAGTCCAAAAATCATTGTAAATGGAAGTTAGGAGATGTAGAAATAATTTTTTTCCTTTTAAGTCTAGAAGGAAATTCTTAAACTGATTTATACTTAAGCGGTTTTGGAAATAATTTAAGTTCAACAAGTATTTTTTGAAAATAACTGTTGTTTATGCCTTACTTAAATAAGTGTCTGCTTACCCAAGCCATGCATTCATGTTTCCTTTGCACTGGCAGTAAGTACTCTGTAGATTTCCAAGGCAAAAGCTGAGATAAAGTAAGAACTGCATAAAACGAATTTTTTCTGCTGCCTTGGTGGGCTGCACCTGCTGAGCTGGTTACTGAATCAGATATACACAACACTGTTGCACAGGAATCAAAGTATCACATAATCAATTAGGTTGGAAAAGACCTCTGAGATCATGGAGTCTAATGGACAGGAAGGCATATGTGGAAAAAAGTGGAGGGTGATATTGCAACTGGTCTGATTTAAACTGGCTCAGTGTAGCTGTAGCCTAAGTTTAAGAGCTAAATTCCTGAAGCTAAACCAGTTTAGTATGATCTACTGTGGAATGGAGCAGCTGTGTTTCTCTTGTCCACTTGCAGCACTGCTGTTCCTGTTTGCCCTGTATGAGGACTTTATGTCTCTATTGACATGCTTTCATGTTGTATCCAAGCTAATCTAAGTGGCTCATTGTCTAATCTAGTTTGGTAATTCCTATGTTAATTTGAAATACGTAGCAAGTAGTATAACAAAACTCTGCAGGACATTTTCAGACATGCAGTGAGCCCCATCAAAACGCGTACTTTTAAACTATTTGTCTAAGTTTGCTAATGCAGTGATGTAACAGGCTTGAGGAATTTGAAGATAGATAAATTAAAGCTTGTGAGCAGGAATGTACAGTGTAGGATGGGGTGGAGGTGGAGCAAGCCTGTAGGAAAGTCCCACCCTATAGGGGAGACTTACTGGACAAGAGACAAAACACGCTCATGGGTTGTCTCCTCATTCTGAATATTCTTTCTTACCCGTGTCTAGGACTGAGCAGTACCTTTCCCCACAGACTGCACACCTTACCTGTAGGGCAGCACAGTTCATGAACTGTTTTTTGGTGAAGAATGTGTTATGGAAATTTGGATCTTTCCCTCATTAAAATGATACACAATAATATCTTAATTAAAATTCTTTGCTACCAGAACAGCAGAAATTTTAATTCACTGGGTCAGCAACTTACCAATACCTTTATTGTAGGTTTCTGGAATCTCCATATTTTCTGATACTGTCCTGTGAAGGAAAATAGTTTTAAGGAAAGTTGCTTTCATGAACTTTAAACTATTGAAGATGCTGGAGTGACTAAAGTATAAAACAAAGTATGAACTTTTCCTAAGACTTTTTTGGCTTTCTCTCTGGAAGTCAAAACCAAATGATCAGCCTAGGTGAGGAATAAAAAGGGCGTAGTAATAATATATTCTAAACTGGTAATACTTTGTGCATGGTCAGCTGGCTTTTCTTAAGTCAGATAAGTGACATCTGGAAACAGATCTCTTACCTTCATTTTTTCTGCAGAGGAAGTATTTAGAAGATAGATTCTTTTAATTTGGTAAAGGTTGGTGTGTTGGTTTAGGCATCTGCGTTTCCAGGGTGGGCCTCAAATTTGTGATAGAAGTCAGTGTTTTGTTTAGGTTTTTCATCTGCAAAATGTGATTTTGTTTTGTATAATCTGTCCTTCATTTCTTATTTAGTTTAAACTGGTTAACAAATAGTTGTGATCTTTGATTTTTTTCTCACACTGGATTCGATAGCAGTGGAAGTAAAGATGGAGGAATCAGGATAGTTGAAAGATCTCGCAGAATATGTCACAGAATATTCTGAGTTGGAAGGGACCCACAAGGATCATCAAGTCCCACTCTGAAGTGAATAGCCCATACAGGGATTAAACCCACAACCTTGGCATTATTAGCACCATGTTCTAACCAACTCAGCTCATCTCATTTCTGTAAAGTATAGAAAGCTGAGGGAAAAAAGGTAAGGTTGGATAACAAATTCCCGTGTTTTCATGAAATGGT